CATAGTTACCACTTCCCAGTGTCCATCCCTCCATACTCTCCTGCCCCCTGAGTTGTCTCCCTGTGCATAAGCAGCCCTTCCTTCTCCCATGATTGTTCTCTCCAGGGTGTGTGAGTTGTGAGGATTTTTGTTTTATTTGTTATAGCGTCACTGAATAACTAAGACATCCACCTTCAAGTCTTTGTTCACATATCACCTGCCCAGTGAGACCTACCCAGAGCACTAATTAAAACTAAAGGCCCCCCCCCCTTTACTGTCTCTTACCCTCCTCTCTTTCCCACAATACTTATCACTTTTAACATTCTGGTATTCAGTGTGCTTAGGTACTATGCTTATGTAACTCTACAAAAGTTATGGGTCTTTGTTTTTGTTTCCTGAGACAGATGAAGAATCAACACCTAGTAGATGTCCAAGAAATATTTGCTGAATAAAGGAATGACTGAAAAGATACACACACTGTAACTGTAACAGGTATGATCCTCAGGGAGGGGAGCTGAGGGACTGGAGGCATGGATGGGAAAGACTTACTTTTCAGCAATACCCTTAAGTATTTTGTGCTTGCATCAGCTGGTAAAATTTTAATGAAACATTTAACTCTACCAATAGCATGTGACAAATGGAAGTTCTGGAGCTGGAAGAAGTAACAATCTGAACCTAACTCCTTCAACTGACATATGAGCATCCAGGTGAAGAGAAGTTAGTTAACTGGCCCAAAGTCACAGGAAGGATTTAAACCTGTATCTGCTGACTCCAGGGCCCTCTCTCATAACCATTATGCCAGAAAACCTCTTAATTTGGCACTCTAATCAGCCAATGTAATGTCTCATAATAGAAATGCTAAGCTGTGTTGTCCCAAAGATCATGATTTGCCTCTATCCAACATGTTCCATCACAGTGAACTCCAAGGGATGGTCTCAGTTCTTCTGATATGTAAGATTTGGGCTGTATTTTGCATGGCTTGATATGAATAGAAACACTGGAGCCCAGGGATTCTTTTTATGGTAACTCCATTGTCAAAACCAAGTCTGGAAGCACAATGTTTCTGAACCCTGCGCTCTCAGACACAGACACCCAAATTTCTTCTTCCAAAGCTGTCAAGAAGTCCAGATGAGTTGCTGGGCGTTTAGGGGTAGGGGAGGGATGTAAGGGCACTTGGCACAGTCAAAGGGTATTGGGAGTGTTCTCAGGAGCTCTTAAATGCTGGCTGCTGAACCTCCCAGACTGGGATGTCTGGGAATGGGAGGCTCTCTGGGCCTGTATCAAGTGGCGGACCCGCCTCCGCTGCTGTAGCCAGTAGAGCATCTCCACTTTGTCGTGCTTCATCTTGTCCAGGTAGCGCCGCCCCTTGAAGGTCACTGGCTCATCAAAGATTAACTCAATTTCTTCCAGGAGGGAAAGCAAGGAGCCCTCCACTTGCTTGAGTTTCCTCTGCAGGAGACTACGGATCTGATTCTCCTCCAGTAGGCAACTCAGGCCCACGTCAGGCTTCTGGAAGAAGCGGTTGGGGTTGGAGGCTCGCTGCTCAAACCACTCCATTCTCCCCAACAGTACCTCTCGCAGCTGAATGGGCTGCAGGGCACGCTCCCAGGCACTCACGAGCGCAGGCAGCTGCCTCAGACGGGCGCTGGAACTGTACTTGATGGCCATGTCCAGCCGGTCTCTGTGGGGAACTTCAAGCACAGACCACAGCTGTTCCAGACGCTTCTGCAGGTTTGGGAGTTTGTGGCACTCACTCAGGAAGTCAGGCATGGTAGCTCCCAGCCCATGCTGCAGCACCGTGCTGCAGTCCCACTCGCCTGGCACAAAGTCCCAGGGCTCTTCTTCGTCTAGTAAGGGCGGAGGGCGCTGAAGCTCCAGGGACTCCTTGACAGAGACCACCAACTCCACAGGAACCTCCTCCTCATACATATGGAAGATGACATGGAGAAAATCTGTCTCCTGGGTGGTGAGGTACTTGAAGTAGTCCTCCTTGGACGGGCTGGTTTTCCACCAGTGCATCCACGAGGCCTTGTTGGACCGCAGGTCCCAGCTTTTGTTTGCATGGAGTGACGTGAGGGAGGACACCTTGTCAGTGTTGGCTCCCTGGGTGTAAAGATTTGCCAGCTCAGGGTTGATGATGCGATACTGTTTTTCTTGATGGAGGAAGGCAGAGGACAGGAAGGCTGACCAATCTTTATTTGCTGCAGGCTCAACCAGGGGCCCCTGGTCAAAATGGAAGTGCTTAGTAGAGACACGGCTCATCAACTCCTTGTAGACCTCTCGGGTGCTACTGCCAACAGAGCAGTCACCATCCATCTCTTCCACAAGTTTGGGGTCCAGTTCACCAGCCAGGTGGTTGTATAGGACCCCAGCCCCCTCGACATGAAAGGAGTCTACAAAGCTTCGGTCAGAGACTCGTACAGCAGCTGCCTCAAACACGAGTTGATTTCTTAGCTTCAGAGTTACGGTTACTGGCTGCGAGTGGAGCGTAGAGGCTTCAGGGAAATGGCGGGCCGGCTGATCCAAGGCTTCTTCCTCCTCCAGCACCTTCAACATCCTCTGCAGCTCCCTCAGACGATGCTCTGCTGCTGGGCGGCGGGTCAGGGCCCCCAGGAGTGGGGCCAGGTTTGAGTCCAGCTGTAGGTAGTGGGGCCACTCCAATTTCAGTTTCTTCATCATCTTTTTCAGATCCTCAGCCACAGTGACTCCTACCAGCTCTGGCTTGCTCTCTGCAACCAGGACCAATGGAGTTAAGGTGCGAGGGGGCAGTGGGGGAAAGCCCAACTCATCTGCCAGTTTCCAGCCCTCACGAAGAGAGGGCATGGACTGGCAGCTCCTGAGCTGGGGGACCTGGGTGGTGGGGGCAGCCCCGCTGGTGGGAGCCACCACCTGGCTGGGCAGTGGCTCAACGTGTGAGGAAGTTAAATCCATGTCTTTCTTCGTTGGCACAGAAGGCAAGCAGAAAAGAGGCTTTCTCGTCTTCAGTTCGGGGATAGCCTTCAATTCCCTCAGAGGATCCACTCCTGGCTCGCGGAGAAACTCTGAAGGGCGGCTGAGGTGGATGAGGTAGTTCAGGTTGAGGGTGGAGCATAGCACGTGGGCGAAGCCGGTGCTGTGAGGCCAGGGGATAGGGCAGAGCTTGAGAGGCTGCATGGGGCTGAGGCAGCTCAGCTCCTTCACACCGCCACGGTCTCGATCTACCCTCAGCAGGGCCTGAAAGTCGGCGAGCAGGCAACGGTAGACTTCAGGGCTGGTGAGAAAGAGCGTGCAGTCCCTGGTGAGGCTAGTGGCCAAACGGGTGAGGGTGGCTGGCTCGGTGAAGACAGACGCGGGGGCTGTCAGGGTCATCAGCAGGTGCAGGTAGCGTAGGAATAGCTGCTCACTGGTCAGCAGCACGTGGGCCTCCAGTCGCTCCCGCAATTTCTGGTTATTCTGGGGGCTCAGACTGGGCTCAGCGGGCGGCTCCTGCCAGCTGCACCTCAGCTCGTCCAGGATAACTTCCGTGAGACGGCGGCGGCCTTCGGAAGACACCCGCGCCGACAACGCGCTGCAGGCCAGCCGCTCAGCTACCTGGCGGCACAAAGACTCCGCCGTCAGCTTGGTGCGCGGCAGGGCTTGTAGTAGCTGGACCTCCTGTGGGCGGCGCTTCTGAGATTCTCGGGGCGTCGCCCTGCGGGGAAGGAGCGACAGCGGCTGCAGCAACTGGTGATAAAACCGCTGAAGCTCGGGCTCCGGCTTCCGGGGCTCCATCTTGACCCAGGTGGAGCCCACACTCACTGCGCCTAGACGCTAACACGTTGCTAGGACAACCAGCGGCCAGGTGACCCGTGCGCGCCTGCGCGGCCCCTCAGGCCCGCTCCGTGAACGTCTTGGGGCAAGTCCTTGCGTGCGCACGCACTAGGGGGCGGGGCGAAGGGTGGCTTCCGCGGCTCCGCTGCCCGCGAAGCTGCTCCGGGCTTGCGTTTCAGGACCCGGGCAGTTGTCGCCCTGCGGCAGGTGCCGAAGTCCAGAATGGCGTCGGCTTCGGGGAACAGCGAGACCGCCTGCACGGTGAGAGTCGAGGCCTCACGTGGCAGCCCCGCGGAGCCTCAGCCGCTGGGGTGATCATTAACTAGCCTGGGACGGAGGGTCATCTTGGGGTACGAGCGAGAGCGGATTACCCAATAAGCAAAGTAAGCACGGGCTTACTTGTGCTTACTTATTAATCTGCAGTGGAAAACATGTGAAGATGTGAAAAACGTGAAACTGTAGTGAATAATATGTGAAACTGCTCGCTACAGATTAGTAAATAAGTCTGTGTTTTCAAGGCGCTCTGGTGGCGCAGTGGTAAGGCATTCGGCTGCTAAGCGAAACGTCGGCGGTTCGAACCCCCGTTCTGCTTCTGTTAAGATTTACAGCCTTGGAAAGCCTATGGCAGTTCCACCCTGCGCTGTAGGGTGGCTATGAGTTGGAATCGAGTCAGTGGCACTGCGTTTGGGTTTGGTTTACCTTGCTTGCTGGGTACTCTGTCTCTGTCAGGGGTTGTAAATTTGAAAAGCACCTTTGATTCTGTGGAGTCGGGAGAGAGACGGAGGCTGGCCATACCTAGAAGCAGAATCTTCTATGTGGTGGAAAAATGTGAAATTGTTCAGTACAGAATAGCGAGCAAGCTTTATTGGGTGATCTGACACTGGGTACAAGGGTAACAGGACTCCTGGGGTGAGTGCTGGCACTTGGGACCATGGGAGCATGGTCCTGGCGTGATCATGAAGAGGGGTCATGTGGGGTGTAACCCCCCAGACTTTCCACGTGGTCACAGGGGAGGTGAGTGAAATGGGACCAGGCAACCTTTGTCCCCAGCTCTCATCAGCCTGTCTCTGCTGCCCCTGCAGCTGGAATTCGCTGTGCAAATGACCTGTCAGAGTTGTGTGGATGCAGTTCGCAAGTCCCTGCAAGGGGTGCCAGGTAAGAGCCAGGGACAGTTTTCTGTGGCCAGCACTCCCAAGGGTAGGCAAAACTTTTCTGTCAGATACAGATGCAGAAACTGAGCCCCAGAGAGAGGAAGGAAATGTTGCTAGAGTCACACAGCTACCCAGAGGCAGAGCCTGGAGGCCAAGTCTCATCTCTGTATCCTTTGAATGACTGGATGAGCTGGCTACCACTGCCTGTTCTGGTGTCTTTCTTTCTTTCTTTTTTTTTTTTTTTTAAAAGGGGTCGCTATGAGTCGGGGCCGACTCGACGGCAAACAACAACAACAACAACAATTGTGATTTGGGTGAAAGTTTACAGAGCAAATTCATTTTCCATCCAGCAGTTCCTACACATTTTTGTTTCATGACATCGACTGCAATTCTCCACAGTGTAACAGCTCTCTTCCCATCTGTTCTGGTATCTTGAACCTCAGGTGTCCTGGAGCGTCAAGAGTCAGGCTGAACATAGCCCCTCTTACAGAGGCAGTTCCCTGGAAAACAGTTTTTGTTCAGGAAAGAGCAGTATTTTCCCAAAGCAAACAGCAGCCTTGGCTGTGTACCAGCTAATTCCCAAAGTCACCTGGTCTGGAGTGACCTGGCCCAGATGGAGGGTCTGAGACAACTGAGCCACCAGCACTGGGCTGGGAACAGCCTTCCTTTGATTCTGCTCAATGCTCATCCAGTTGTTCAGCAGGTTCCCAGCCCTGCTTGTGGACCAGGCCCTGGGGGCTTCAGGGAGCCGCTTCCCAGGGGGATCAGGCCCAGCCCCCACCCTCACGTGAAGATGAACATGCAAGCACTGCTTCCAGCATTCACAAAAGTTGTCACGGAAGAGCCGCTTGGGGAGGGGATGCAATGACATGGGCTGTGAACGAGCTCTGGAGCCAGACTGTTTGGGTTCAGATTCCCTGTTCGCCACTTCATTGCACTGTGCCCTATGCAAGTTACATCTTGTCCCTGTTTCTTCAAGTTTTTCTTTTTTTTATTGTGACTTGGCTGCAATTTTACTGTTTCTTCAAGTTTTAAACAGGGATGACAGTAGAACCTGCCCTGGAGAACTGTTGTGAAGAGAACATTAGGGAAAACCTGTAAAGGACTTTAGAAAAGTCTCTGGCGTGTGAGAGCCCAAAAACTCTCAGGTTTTTGGGTCTAAGAGTGTCTTAGCTGTCTAGTGCGTCCATTACAGTAATACCACAAGGGGGGCGCTTTAACAAACAAATTTACTATCTCACAGTTTAAAAGGCTAGAAATCCAAGTTCAGGACATGGGCTTTAGGGGAAGGCTTTCTCTCTGCCGCCTCTGGGGAAAGGTCTTGTCTTCAGCTTGTCTCCTGGTCCCTTGCAGATCTCCATGTGGCTTGGTCTTCCCCAACCTCTGCTTCCTTCATTTGTTCTTTTTATATTTTGTAAGAATTTGACTCAAGACACAGCCTACGCTTTATTAACATAACACAGACATCCCATTCCCAAATGGGATTATAACCACAGGCCTAGAAGTTAGGGTTTACCACACATGTTTGGGGAACGCAGTTCAATCCATAAGAGGGTTTACAGGGGGTGATCTGGTTGAGAAGAGGCAAAGGGGACAGACCTTGAAGTGAGGTTGGGTTTGCTTAGACTGTGTTTTGGGGTGTTAGAGTTGGACTCTGACAGATTGAGCCATTTTACTGATGTGGCGTATTCTGACCAAAGCTTTCCCGGGATATAAGGCCCTCCACTTCCTGGAAAGCTTTCTTGTTGAGAGGGCTGATGGCTAAACTTTTTGTCGGACATAGGGTAGTTTTTGGAGCTCTGGTGGCGTAGTGCCATTTGACTGCTAACCAGAAGGTTGGAGGTTCAAACTCACCAGCCACTCCGCAGAAGGAAGACTGGACTACTTTCATAAAGATTTACCACCTTGGAAACCCAATAGGGGTTGCTGTGAGTCAGAATCGAGTCAATGGCAGTGCGTTTGGTTTTGCTTTGGAGGGCAGTTGTCAGCTCTCAGCTCACTTCTCAGGCACCAGATAACCACTATGTAACTGTGCCTGTTATCTGGTCTGGATGACTGGAGCAGCTTGGCTTTCTCCTGCGTTGGGCAGGGAAGTTGTAGTTTCCCAGAATGCATAGATAGAGAGGGAGGTCTGCCCTCTCTGCCAGACCTGGGTCCTTGAGGAGGCAAGGCTCTGATCTTTTCCCAGAGGGAAGTGGAGGTGGTAATTAATTACAGTTGTGTGTCCACTTGGCTTCCAGTGCTCTGGATGAGTTATTCTCCATGATAAGATCGTAATCTCCTCTGTGGTGGAATCTGCCATGAGCAGCTAAGTAGCTACCCTCAGGGTGTGGCCTGCTTCCAGTCTATATGGAGAAGCTTTGAGAAGAGTCTCTAGCTTTTAGGCATGTTTGGATCAGAGTTGCCTGCGGATCTCTGGACTGTTCCTGGACTTGACCCAATGGCCTGCTGTGTTGCCTGCACCGATCTTGGGTTAGAAGAAGCTTGCAGCTCCAGTGTGCCTGGAACAGAGCTGAAGCCCAAGGTCAAGAGGGCTTCACCCAGTCCCTGGAGCCAGCGCTCTGAATTTGGACTTCTAGCCTCCTAAACTGTAAGAGAATCAATTCCTGTTTGTTGAAGCCGTCCACTTGTGGTCTTTCTGTAACAGCAGCGCTAGAGAACCAAGTCAGGGAGACACCGTGGCCCAAGGCTCACCTCCTGGAGTTCCCTGAGGCCCCTGCACAGCCACATTCGGTTCACCTGCTGCTGCTTGGCCGGGGAGCCCACCTTCTCGGTCAGACTCAGGTCAAGCATTCTGGAGGTGCCTCCTTGCGGGGGTCTTCCAGCCTTCCCGCTGTGGGAGCAGAGAACCAGCTCGCCTCTCTTTAAACCATGCAGCAACTTCCTTTGTGGGCTTCCTGCTGCCTCTCTTGACCCCCCAATAGCCTTTCCACATAAAAACCAGACAGGATTTTTAAATCACATATCAGATAATGTTGTTCCAGTAGACCAGAGAAGGGAGTCCCAGCCCAGCCTGGGGGCTGCTTCTTGGGGTGGGCAGAGTGTCGGGGGTAAGACCTTGGGCTCCGGAACCAGGCTGCCTGGCTTTGGACTCCAGTTCCACAACTGACTGTGGTGTGACTTTGAGCAAGTTTCTTCAATCTCTCTGTGCCTCAGTTTCCTCTTCTGTAAAATGGGGATGATCCTACCCAACTCACAGGGCTCCTGTGAGTTTCTAAGGAATAGACACAGGGACAGCACTTAGGAGAGAGCCCGGCCCACAGTGTGGTGCTTCATGAGCAATAGCTACAGTGGTGACGGTGCTGGGCCCTTCCTGTTTTGATAGCAGCTTTATCGAGCTATAAGTCATGTCCCATCCCAACTCGCCCATTTAAATACACAGTTCAGTGGTTTTAGTGTCTTCGCAGAGCTGTGTAACCATTGCCACCATTAATTTCAGAACATTCTCATCACCTCAAAATGAAACCCGCCCCTCCAGCCCTAAAAAACCAAACTAAACTCACTGCCATCAAGTCAGATCCAACTTGTAGTCACCCCGCCTTAGATTTCTGAGGTGGTATCACTGCAGAAGTAGATTGCCCAAGCTTCCTTCCGAGGAGTGGCTGGTGGGTTTGAACCGCCAGCCTTCTGGTTAGCAGTCTTAGGCACTAGGCCACCAGATCTCTTCTTCCAGCCCTAGCCCCCTACTAATCTACTTTATGACTCTGGATTGCGTATTCCGTTCATTTTACGTACATGGGTTAGACAGTGTGTAGTCTTTCGTATCTGGCTTCTTTCACCTAACATGTTTTCCAGGCTCATCTGTGTTGCAGCACACGTCAGAATTTGTTTCTATTTATGGATGAAGTGATATTCCATTGCGTGCTTTGGTGGTACAAACGGCTAAGTGCTTGGCTGCTAACTCGAAGGTTGGCAGTTTGAACCCACCCAGCAGCTTTCCAGGAGCTTTTGTAGCATAGTGCCTAAGACACTTGACTGCTAACCAGGAGGCTGGGGGTTCAAACCCACCAGCCACTCCTCGGGAGAAAGGTTGGGCGATCTGCTTCCGTAGTGATACCACCTCGGAAACCCAAGGAGGGCTCGTTATGAGTCGGGGCCGACTCGACGGCACACAACAACAACAACAATAGTAGCAGCTTTCCAGGAGAAAGATGCAGTGATCTGTTCATAAAGATTATAGCCAGAACAACTAGATGGTGCCCGGCTACCAGTAACAACTGTTCTGTTTAGGGCCGTAGTAGATGGATCTTCATAGAGTGGGACACAAGTGTGAAATAGAACTCAGATTTTTGGAGACTGAGGACTCCCCCCAAATCTCTCCCCCTGAGCTACCCTTTACATCTCGAACCAAAAATGTTACCTGCCTTTACCTTTGAGCAAATTAACAGAGTGGTTCGTAAAATAGAGACTGTAATCCGTGAGTACTGTGCTTCTTTAAAAAGTCATCTCTGTGAGATTGACTGGTGAGCAGTCACTCTAAAAAAAGACAAGAAAGTAAAGGGTTGAGGGACCACCAGCTGGAATTAGTGAGAATGTTGATACGTTGTGGAAAACGCAACCAGTGCCACTGAATGATTTGTGTAGAAAATGTTAAATGGGAACCTGATTTGCTGGGTAAATGCTCACTGAAAACAAAACAAAATATTATTTAAGAAAAAATAAGTTATAAGCAATGCTTAGCATGTGGTAAGGACTCACAATAGCCCTGGGATGAGATAGTGTTATCCCTAGTTTATATGTAAAGAAAAAGACTCTGTGAGGTTAAGGGACTTACCCAGGGCTAGCCAGCTGAAGGTATGCAAGTCAGCACCGAGAGCCCTCTTTCCTGTCCCGCCTCCTACCTGGGGAAGGTTGGTAGAGATGGGACCTACAGTCGACTCCTTTTTCTCTGCTCCCAGCACTGGGCTGCCCAGCCCACTGCTGCCCTCTGCCCTCTCTCCTCCCAGGTGTCCAGGGCGTGGAGGTGCAATTGGAGAACCAGATGGTCCTGGTGCAGACCACCCTGCCCAGCCCGAAGGTGCAGGCCCTCCTAGAGGGCACAGGGCGGCAGGCAGTACTCAAGGGCATGGGCGATAGCCACTTACGTGAGTGACCACTGTGGCCTTGGCCGGTTGTGGGGGGAGGTGGCCTGGCTCTGGAGCCAGTCTGACTGTAAGGACAAATCTTGGGCTCGGGGCTGGAGTGGCTTTGTGGGAGGTGTGAAGGTACGGAGGCCTCCTGCCATGCCCTTCCCAAGGCGATGAAGGGGTAGGGCTGAGTGAGTGAGCAAGCCAGCCGGGTGTCTAATACCTTGCAGAGAATCTGGAAGCAGCAGTGGCCATTCTGGGGGGGCTTGGACCTGTGCGGGGGGTGGTGCGCTTCCTGCAGTTGACGCCTGAGCGCTGCCTCATCGAGGGGACCATTGACGGCCTGGAGCCTGGTCCACACGGCCTCCATGTCCATCAGTACGGGGACCTGACCAGCAACTGTGCCAGGTAAGTGATCTGGAATCTCCCCGGTGGCGTCCTCGTTCCTCCAGATGTGCAGTTGCTGTATGCCAGGGGCTGTGTTCGCACATTTCCACACTTGGTTCTCGCCAGTGCCCTGTGAGGCACAAACACATGCATCCGACCTTCAGGTGAGGAAACTAAGACTCAGAGAGGTTAAAGGACTTGCCAAAGGCCCCAGAGCGTGTAGCAGAGTTAGGATTTGAACCAAGATCTGAAGGCCCTGCTCATACCCACCCTACTGCCTTGGAGAGGGAAGGCAGCTCCTAGACATGGTAAGGGGAGGGTCCCCTTGTCATGGTGTTTCTCATGCAGTCGTATCATTAGTTGTTGACTCATCTGTGTCTTCCCTTGGACCAGAAGGTTCTTCAGAGTAGGAACCATGCCCATTCACCTCACTGCCCTCTCCCCGAAGGCTGACACAGAGTGGGCCTCTGTTGAATGGCTGGATGCATGCATGCAAGGGTGAAAGCCACCTAGTTCAGGCCTTAAGTAAGCTTAGCTGGCCTAAGAGCTGCTGTTTCCCTGCCCACCTGGTGTCTTCTCTTCTTAGCTGTGGGGACCACTATAACCCTGATGGAACGTCTCATGGGGGCCCCCAGGACGCTGACCGGGTAAGTGCCAGCCTGGGCTGGTCCTGAACCACAGAGAACTGTCCCAGAGGCAGTTCTTGGGGCCTTAGAGTGATTCCTTTTCAGCCTTATTTTGTTGGGCTTACAAACATTTATCGATACTTTCTGTGATCCGGACCGTGGGGGTACAACATGGCCTGGTGCTTCCCTCCCCAGAAGCTCACAGTCTAATGGGGAGACCCCTGAGAATCCAGAGTGACAGTGCAGTGTGATTAGCCTTGAAGGAGGCTGACAGGCCGTGAGTACCCACAGCAAACCCCGCCCCTGCCTAGAGACAGAAAGTGGGGGGTAGCATCCAGAGAGGGTGAAGGTGTGGAAGGGAAGTTTTCCCTAACTCCAGAGGCCTCCCTAAGGTGACAGTCGCTGGGCCTGCAATTCCATTTTCCCCCAGAAAATTGCTCCTTCAGCGAGCCTGGTTCTACCTCAGTGATTTTTGCTTTCTCCAAGTACTTCTTGTTTTGTTAGTTACTCAATATCATTATTTGAGTTGACTTTTTAGTTACTTTTTTATTTTTTATTTTATTATGGAAATTTTTTTTTAACATATTCCATGGAACAGCAGTCAGGAAATCAGATGTCACATTGCACTGGCCGTATCTGCTGCAGAAGAACTCATTTAAAGTGTTAAAGAGCAAAGGTGACACTTTGAAGACTAAGGTATGCCTGACCTAAGGCATGGTCTTTTCAGTCACCTCATATGCATGTGAAAGCTGGACACTGGTTAAGGAGGACCAATGAACAGTGATGCATTTGAATTACAGTGTTGGCAAAGAATAGTTGAAGATACAATGGACTGTCAGAAGAAGGAACAAAGCTGTCCTGGAAGAAGTGCAGCCACAACGCTCCTTAGAAGCAAGAATGAATGAACAGGCTTTGTCTCACGTACTTTGGTCATGTTGTCAGAAGGACCCAGTCCCTGGAGAAGGATGTCATGGGAAAACAGAGGGTCAGGGAAAATGAGGAAGACCCTCAACAAGATGGACTAACACAGTGGCTGCAGCTGCGGGTTCAAACATTGTGATGCTTGTGAGGGTGGCACAAGACCGGGCAGTGTTTCGTTTTGTTGAGCAAGTAGGCTTGCTCTGCCTCAAAGATTGACTTGACGGCACCTAACAACAACAAAGTGGAGAAACTAGTGTCGTAAAGCCCAGGTCCCCATCGCCCAGCTTCAGCAGTTCCCAGTTTCGGTGGCCAAGTTTCAGTTACAGCCCCGCCCCTTCCCTGTCATTATTTTGAAGCAAATCAAGATACCATTTCATGTAATTAAGTAGATTTATTTTTTACAAGAAACTTGATATTACAATAGAAAAGGGAAAACCAGTACTTCTAGCTGTAAGAAGAAGGTAACTGTAAAAATAAATCAGTGAAGGAAGCTCTGGTAGTAGAGTGGTTAAAGCACTCGGGTGCTAACCAAATGGTCAGCAGTTCGAACCCCCAGCCATTCCAGGGAAGAAAGATGTGGCATTGTGCTTCTGTAAAGATAACAGACTTGAAAACTCTGTGAGGCCGTTCTCTGTCTTTAAGGGTCACTATGAGTCTGAACTGACATGAAAGCAATAGGTTTTTTTTCATGTTCCCTGTAAAAAGCCTTCGTGGCATGTGGTTAAGTGCTTTGCTGCTAACCAAAAAGTCGACAGTTTGAACCAACCCCGCAGCTTTGCAGAAGAAAAGACCTGGTGATTTCCTTCTGTAAAGATTACAGCCTAGAGAACCCTGTGGAACACTTGTACTCTGTCACGAGGGTTTGGAATCAACCCAATAACAGCATCATTCTTCATGAGACGGGAGAACACAGTAGTTGCAACATTGGGCTCAAACGTGCCAACAACTCGCCAGTTGTGAGGGTGTTGCAGGGCGGTATAATGTTTTGTTCTAAACATAACAAGGCTACCATGCCCCGGAGCTGACACACCCACAGCTAAGGAGAACGTCCTGTCTACACACAGCCTGAAACGCCCTCCACTGCTGTGGGGGATGTCACCCTGCTCTGGAGGTAGTGTCAAGGCAGCTTCTTCCTAATCTTGGGAAAGTGGTGTCTCCTCTTAACCTCCTCCAGGTCTCAGAGTCCATGCAAGCCCAGCTTCAAGGTCTGTGCCCTCCGCCTCCCCACAACCAGGCCACCGCTGTAAGCCCTTCCTCTCAGGATACCAAGAAAGCCAAACTCACTGAGAGTTTTTGGGCTCTCACATGCCAGAGGCTTTCCTCAAGTCGTTTACATGTTTTCCCCATATTCTTTTCCCGACGGTCCTCCAGGACAGGTTCTACTGTCATCCCTGTTTAAAACTTGAAGAAACAGTAAAATTGCACCCAAATCACAATAAAAAATTGGAAAATTGAAGAAGCAGAGGCACAAAAAGTAACTTGCATAGGACACAGTGCGATGAAGTGGCAGAGAGCGATCTGAACCCAGTGTGGCTCCAGAGCTCGGAGCTCTAACCGCTCGGGGACACTGCTGTCCGGAGGTCCGGTGTCACCTCTGTGCCAGCCTCACAGCCCATGTCATTGCATCCCCTCCCCAAGTGGCTCTTCTGTTTTGATTTCTGTGAATGTCGGAGGCAGTGTTCATCTTCACGTGAGGATGGGGTCTGGGCCTGATCCCCCTGGGAACCAGCTCCCTGAAGCCCCCAGGGCCTGGTCCACAAGCAGGGCTGGGAACCTGCTGAACGACTGGAGCATTGAGCAGAAGCAAAGGAAGGCTGTTCCCAGCCCAGTGCTGGTGGCTCTGCCGTCTCTGACCTTCCATCTGGGCCATGTCGCTCCAGCCCAGCTTTTATTTTCTATCTTGAGAGTTTGCCACAAGACCAGTGAAGCTGTGATGTGTATCTTACATCTTTTCCCATATTCTTAATTCACATAACTGGTATTTTGGACTTTTGACAGCTCTGTGACATTTTTTAAAATTTTTATTGTGATTTGGGTGAAAGTTTCCAGAGCAGATTCATTTTCCATACAGCAATTCATATATATTTTGTCTCATGACATGGACTGCAATTCCCCACAACCTAACAGCTCTTTTTCCACTTCCTCCCTGTGGTTACTTCTTCCCTGTGTCCTTCCCTTCCACGCCCTCCCACCCTCTGAGCTGTCTCCCCATGAAAATACTGCCCTTCTGTTCTCCCACAATTGATTGCTCCAAGGAGTGTGTCCACCTGATGTAAATGTTCAACCCATGTGCCTGTCTGTTGTTTGTCTGGAAGCTCTGTGACGTTTTTAATGGGCGGACGTTTTTACTCACCCTCTCTGGGGTGTTGGAGAGGCAGTTCTGCAGAGACCACTGGGCAGTGCTATGCTTACGCTGAGGGCATTGGTTATTTACTGCTGCCAATCAAACTACTCCAACACTTAGGGACTCAAAGCAAAGTTCGTTACTTCACGGTTTCCGGGGTCTGGAATTTGGGCCCAGCGTGGCTGGGGGCCTCTGGCTCAGGGTCTGTCAGTCTCAAGGCTGCAGTCCAGCTGTCAGCCCGGCTGCAGTCCTCTCAAGGGTCTGCTGGGGGAGAGTCTATGTCAAACTTGCTCACGTGGCTGTTGGCTGGCCTCGGTCCTTACTGGCTGTTGACCAGAGATGTCAGTTTTCTGCCACGTGGGCCTGTCCCCAGGGCAGCTCATCACAGCAGCTGGCTTCCCACAGAGCCAGTGAGCACGAATGGCCTTCCAGGACTGACGCCACACTTTGTGTCATCTAATCTTGGCAGTGACAGTGGGTCCAGCTCACAGACACGGGGAGAGGATTACGCAGGGTGTGAAAGTGGGGACAGGAGCCCTGGTGGCTCAGTGGTGAAGCACTCAGTTGCTAACTGAAAGATTGACGGTTCAGCACTTGGCTGCTAACCAGAAGCTCGGTGGTTCAAACCCATTAGCCACTCCATGGGAGAAGGATGGAGCAGTGGCCTCCATAAAGGTTGTAGTTGGGTCCTGCTGCGTCCGTTCTGACTTACGGTGACCCTGTGGACAACAGGACAGAACTCTGCCCGGCCCTGCACCGCCCTTACAGTTGTTGCTGTGCTTGAGTTCGTTGGAGCCGCTGTGTTGATCCACCTCACTGAGGGTCTACCTCTTTTTCGATGACCCTCTGCTTTACCAAGCGCGATACCCTTTTCCAGGCACTGGTCCCACCTTATAACATATCCAAAGTGCAAGGGACAAGTGTTTCAGGCCCCATGGGCTCTGCCTATGTAGCTCCTCAGCTGGGGCTGCTGTCCACTCTCATCTGCCTAATTCCTGCTCATCTTTCAAGCTCAATGAGATAGACAGTCCCTCAGACTGCCACCTCCTCTTCCACATACTCCAAACCAAAGCAAGTCCCCTATCCTTGCTTCTAAGGAGCATTCTGGCTATACTTGTTCGACGACAGATTTGTTCGTTCTTCTGAAAGTCCATAGTAGATTCAGTATTCTTCCCGACACCGCGATTCAAATGCATCAGTTCTAATTGACTCTTTAGTCATTGTCCAGCTTTCACATGCATATGAGACAACTGAAAATTAGAAACCCTCTAAGATAGTTACAGGAGCTCTGGTAGCATAGTGCCTAAGGCACTTGACTGCTAACCAGAAGGCTGGTGGTTCAAACCTTGGAAGGAAGGTTGGGCAATCTACTTCCGTAGTAATATTGCCTCGGAAACCCAAGGAGGGGTCGCTATGAGTTGGGTCCGACTTCACGGCAAATACAACAACAACATAAGATAGTTCTACTCTGTTCTATACCCAAAACCATTGCCATTGAGTTGGTTCTGGCTCATAACAACCCCCGTTGGTTTTCCAAGGCTGTAAATCTTTACAAAAGTAGATTGCCTCATCTTCCTCCTGCAGAGCAGCTGGTGGGTCTTGAACCACCAGCTGTCTGATTAGCAGCTAAATGCCTTCCCCACTACTATACCGTCACTGTAGGTCTGAATCAGCTTGACAGCAGTGGGCTTGGGTTTGGTTTGGAGTATGTGGAAGAGGAGGTGGCAGTCTTAGGGACTGTCTATCTCATTGAGCTTGAAAGATGAGCAGGAATTAGGCAGATGAGAGTGGACAGCAGCCCCAGCTGAGGAGCTACGTAGGCAGAGCCCATGGGGCTTGAAACAGCAAGGAGTGGCGACTAGGGGTTCTGGGTCTCTTATGATGACATGGAAGTGTTTGACAAGCAAGAGGCCTCCCTTGTGACCTGTGCCTGCATCCGGTACACCTTCCCAAAAACCACACTCACTGCCGTTGAGTCATTTCCAACTCGGTGACATCTTCTGGGGTTTCCAAGGCATATCTCTGCAGAAGTAGATGCCCAACCTTGGGGCAGGGAATCCTGGGGGAATGGAGTCAGCCCCTATACTATGCCCACGGTCTTGATGTAGACAGGAGAACGTGAGCAAGTAGGGGAGCAGACAGGGCTACCACGTGACCAATCCTTTTGGATTCCAGCAGCTGGCTTTGCCCAGCTGGAAATGATTGAGTGTGGGAATTTCCAGCCAGGCTTCGGTGCCCCTTTCCCGCCTCCTAGGCAGTCATGACGTTTCCTCCCCTCCTCTCCTCTTGCCCCAAGGCCTTGCCCTGCACTAGAGGGGATGCTCAAAAGCATGTTGATCGTGCTGGGCCCCTGCCTGAAACCTGTGGCTCCCAGTGCCCAAGGGTACAGGCATCTCGGGGTGACAGAGCCCTCCCCGAGCCCGAACACCTGCCTGCGGGCAGAGGGGGAGGCTGGAACAGCTATGGTTCCTGACCCTGCTGCTGGTCGCCTCGGCACCACCCTTCCTGGCTCCCTCAGCCCAGCCCTGCAAATGCTTGACGGGCCTCTGTATCACTTCCCCACTTTGCTTTTTCCTGCCTTTAAAACCCCCATTGGGGGTGTTACATGATGTGCCAGGTGCCAGCCACAGATGGCCCTTTGGAGGATGAAATTAAGCAGCCCTAGCACAGTGACCTGCTCTGGGGCTTAGCAGCAAGCTCTTGTGAACCGGCCGCATCGGCACAGGGTCTTGCATCTGTCCCAGGTGTCAGGTTGAGGACGGTGCATTTGCACAGATGTGGATCGCTGACTCACCAGCAAGGTCTGTCACCAGAAACATGCTAATTGCTGCACTTGCCCCGTGTCTCACCGTAACTAGTCACTTCTGTGTCTGGCCCCCACCATGTTTTGAGGTCCTTAAGGGCAGTGACTATATGTCCTGCCCACCCCCACCCCACTACCTTATTGCTGTGGTTGTTGTGTACCATGGAGTGGATTCTGACCCACAGCGCCCCTAGAGGACAGAGTGGAACTGCCCTACAGGGTCTCCAAGGCTGTCATCTTCACAGAAGCAAAGCCCAAACCACACCCACTGCTGAGGAGTTGATTCTGACTCACAGCACTCCTAGAGGACAGAGTGGAACTGCCCCATAGGGTCTTCAAGGCTGTAGTCTACAGAGGAAGGAGCCCTGGTAGCACAGTGGTTAAGTGCTTGGTTTCTAACCAAAAAGTTGATAGTTCAAACCCACTAGCTGCTCCATGGAAGAAAGATGTGGCAGTCAGCTTCCATAGAGATTTCAGCCTTGGAAACCTTATGGGGCAGTTCTACTCTTCCTGTAGGGTCACCAAGAGTCAGAATCAGCTTAATGGCAATGAGTTACTCTTGATGGGAGCTGACAGGAGCAGATTGCTAGGTCTTTTCTCCCATGGAGCAACTGGTGGGTTCAAACCACCAACCTTTCCTTTAGCAGCTGAGCGCTTAACCATTGGGCCACCAGGACTCCTTCCCCAGGGGCTTGCACAGCATTTTACGTAGGAGGTGCTTGGTAGATGGGTGATGACATTTTATATTACCTCTAAGGGGAACGGTAAGGAGCTCTGCTGGTGTAGTGGATAAAGCATTTTGCTGCTTACCAAGAGGTCCATGGTTCAAACCCACCAGCCATTCTGTGGAAGAAAGATGGGGTGGTCTGCTTCTGTAAAGATTCACAGCCTTGGAAACCCAATGGGGGTTGCTGTGAGTCGGAATTGACTCAGTGGCAGTGGGTTTGGCTTGGTTTTTCAAGGGGGAAGGTGAGAGAAGCAAGCTTCCAGGGCAGAACGGGCCCTTTGTCCCTTGCTCTCCCTGTGCCTTGAGGCTGGGAGTCCAAAAGATGCTGTTGGTTGCAACTGATTGCCAGGGAAGCCAGCCCCGGCCAACATAAGGCCAGAGAATTCACTGGATGGCTTCCAGGGGCTTACAGAGCCAGCAGGAGGCTGGAGACTTGGCTTAGAGAGAAGCAGGAACAGGGTTTGCTTTGAGGTTGGGAAGAGGGATGAGCAACATCTTCATAAAGGAACAGTCTGGTCCCATGGGTAGGACCCCCAGGGGCTGTTCTCAGCTCACCATCGTTCTGCCCTGGGTAAAAGTGTTCAGTTGCTTGCCTTGAGTTCTGGGCCACCCCTTGGTCCTACCAGCTTATGCCCTCAGGAAGATTGGTACTTTTTGGGTGGGGAATCAGATACTGGGAAGCCAGGAGACAGCAGCTGAACGCTGCCTGACCCTGCCTGCCCTACTGGTTCCTGTTCCAGCACCGTGGAGACCTGGGGAACGTCCGCGCTGATGCTGATGGCCGAGCGGTCTTCAGGATGGAGGATGAGAAGTTGAAGGTATTCTGGGAAAGAAGGTGGGAGCCCTTCCTACAGGCTCTGAGGCGTCGCCCTTCCTACCTCTCTGAGGCGTTGCTTCCCCCTCAAAGGTGTGGGACGTGATTGGCCGCAGCCTGGTGATTGATGAGGGGGAGGACGACCTGGGCCGTGGTAGCCACCCTTTGTCCAAGGTCACGGGGAACTCAGGCGAGAGGTGAGTGATGGTCTCTGGGAGGCTATACATGAGTAAGGGCCCTAAGGGGCCCAGGCAAGCCGCACTTAACCACACGTTCTCCGGCAGGTTGGCCTGTGGCATCATCGCACGCTCCGCTGGCCTGTTCCAGAATCCCAAGCAGATCTGCTCCTGCGATGGCCTCACCATCTGGGAGGAGCGGGGCCGGCCCATCGCCGGCCAGGGCAGGAAGGAGCCGGCTCAGCCCCCTGCCCACCTCTGAGCCTCGGCTCAGCCTTTGGGTCTGCTCCTGTCCCCCCCCAGCAGCCTCCGTTTCCAGAAGGAACTGAAGGAGGCCTTGCCTAACCACCCTGGCGGAACTTGGGTACCGGTGGGTAGGTGTTGCTATAACGTTCCCTTGGCAAATTAAAACTTTATTTTCATTTGGAGAATATTTCATTTTTACTTCATCACTGTCTCCCTGTTTCTTAATGGGTGTGGGGAACAGAGTGTCTGCCTCTGATCACCACCACATCTAGGGCCACTGCTTCGCTTTGGAGCCAAACAAACTTGATTGAAATCCACACACCTCCTGAGGGTCCCATCAGACTGCAACAGTCACACGTTGGTGCCCTGCTGCCCCGCCCCCTACTGGAGCTGATTGGGGCCAGATCAGACACCTGACCCTCATTGGCCAATCAATCCTTTCCCTGAGAAATTAGAGTGGTTCTTGCTGTGGCTGGACAAGGGAATGTAGCAAGGGAAGGTGTCTGAGTTCCCTAGTGCTGCTCTCACAGAAATGCCACACACGGGGAGCGTTAATAAGCAGAGACGGATTAGGAGGTTAGAAGTCTGAATTCAAGATACTGGCTTTCTGTCAGCTCTGGGGAAAGGTTCTTCTCTCTTTTCAACTTCTGGTCCTTATCAAGCTTTATGTGCCTTGGCCTTTCTCTTCTTCATCTGTGCTTCCTGGCTTCTGTGCCCAGTCTGCTCTTCTTATGCCTTAAGAATGATTGGGTTTTAGACACACCCGAAACTGATGACCTCATTAACACAACAACAGAAAATGACTCCCAGATGGGATTATATCTACAGATAGAAACCAGAAAAACCAACCCCACTGCCATTTGAGTCAGTTGCATCTGGAGTGATTCCCATAGGGTTTCCAAGGCTGTAAATCTTTACGGAAGCAGACTACCTCATCTTTCTCCCATGGCAAAGCTGGTGGGTTAGAACCAGTGACCTTCTGGTTAGCAGCCAAATGCCTTAACCACTACACCACCAAAGCTCCTCATCCACAGATGTAGAGGCCGGTATTCCAACACATAATTTTTTTTTTGGGGGGGGGTCACAAATCCATAACATATGGGAACTATGGGTGGTCCTCACCTGGTCAACTGAGCATCAGAAAAAGCCGGTCTGCAGAGGAGGTGGAATGAGCAGACACCAGGAGAAAGGGGACTGGCTGGACAACCCGTGTCACTCAGGGATCTCTGCCCTGGGGCCTCTCCTGAGCCGGCTGTCTCCTGCCTGGGACTTGGAGACACTCTGGATTCTCCAAGTGCTTGCTTTTTTGTTTGTTTGTTTGTTTTTAAATCTGGCATCAGTTGATTACTTTTACTCCCAAGCAAACAGATGTTAATGAATCTTCTAAGTCCAATGCTGGCACAGGCCTGGCGCACACCATGCCAGGGCTCAGTGGCTGTGATCCTGAGGCTGGTGGGCCCTGGAGGAGCTCAGCCAAGCTCCCCCTCATATGGATGGCTGATATCCAGGGAATAGTACTGGGGCCACTCCCCATCTCTGCAGCTCCTACTCCACCCCCCACTGGAGTGTCAGGCTTGCTCACCCGTGAAAAGGCTCCCCTTCAAGTAGGGTGGGCTGCTGTACTGAGAACCTCGTAGACCCAGGAGAAGATTGATGCCAAGACACGTGGAGATCTGCGAGGCACACCAGGCCCACAGATGCTGAAAGGAGACAAGGACCCTCCCCAGAGCCAACAGAGAGAGAGAGAGCCTTCCCCTAAAGCTAGCACCCCAAACTGTGAGAGGATCAATTTCTGTTTGTCAAAGCCACGGATTAAAAAATGGAACCATTTACAATCCAAAACAGAAAAGAAAAGGGTGAGCTGTCAGGTGCACACGTTGCCCTTCATGCTGCCTGCTTGGAACACAGCTGGAGGTTCTAGTTGCTTGGCCTTGGCTTAGAAACACTCTGTTGACAGGATTCCTCCCTGCTAAGATTGTTGGCTGGGAGCTCTGGTGCGTAGTGCCTAAGGCACTTGACTGCTAACCAGAAGGCTGGCAGTTCAAACCCACCAGGAAGGAAGATGCAGCAATCTACTTCCGTAGTGATACTGCCTCAGAAACCCAAGGAGGGGTCACTATGAGTCGGGCCCAACTCGACGGCACAAAACAACAACAACAAGATTGTTGGCTGTGTTACTAGACATAAGCAGGGAACCCAGAGCTCTTTCCTGTTTGATTTAAAGCTGGGTACTCAGTTATGTCGCCTCCCTCACCTGGGTTTTTGGGTGTAATTCTCTCTTTTTCTCTGTCACTGAGATACCTCAGGTCCTTTTTGAAATAGATAATGTATATGTGCTTATTTTAGAAGAATTAGAGGGGAGTTTCTGGGGGCCTGGAGGATGGTCCCCAAAATGGGATATATTGGGTCCCTTAGGGTTGAGAACCACTGTTTAAAATATTTGTAGAGAATCATTAAACACAGTCCGTGTAGGAAGTAGTCCAGTCTAGGAAATTGTGTGAAGACTAAGATGCTCCTGATCCAGGCCCTTGTCCTCTCAATCACCTCCATGCGTGTGACAGCTGGACAAGGAATAAGGAATACCATAGAAGAGCTGATGCCTTTTGAATTGTGGTGTTGGTAAAGGGTATTGAATACACTATGCACTGCTAGGAGAATGAACAAATGTGCCTTGGAAGAAGAAGTACAGACAGAATGGTCCTTAGAAGCGAGAATGGCCAGACTTCGTCTCTCATACTTTGGTCCTGCTGTCAGGAGAGACTGTTCCCTGGAGAAGGATGTCATGCTTGGTAAAGTAGAGGGTCAGCGAAAAAGGGGAAGACCCTCAGAGATGGACTGACACAGTGGCTCCAGCAACGGGCTCAAGCGTGGCAATGATTGTGAGGATGCACGTGACAGACAGTGTTTGGTTCTGTTGTACACAGGGCAGGGTCACCGTCAAAACCGACTAGACTGCACCTGACAACAACAGGAAGTTGTGTGTGTGTGTGAACCTCTTAGATGCAACTTACGTTAACATGGAGTTCTGAGTGTTATTTTTTTCTATCTAGAGCTAAGCCCACTGTGATTCTAGTATTTGAAACAGTGGCTTGATCCATTGTGTCTCCCATACTGCTATTTACAGTAAACTTGGGTTAAATAAATGCACTGCTTACAATTCCAAAACCTAAGCACAATTCAGGACTCCCCTTTAAGTTTTTGTCTTTAATGTTGGATGACGAGGGTGCGATAGACTTGAGTATTTCCATTTTTGATGAGGCTGCAGGGAAGCTCCAAGATAAATTTCGCTTTCAACCACAATTGCTCATTCATTCTCATTGGAAATGATGTTGCTCCCAACAGGACGAAATTGATTGTTTGGGGGCAAAAATATCGCAGATATGTGTCACAGATTGAATTGTGTGCCCCCTCCCTAAATTATGTCGAAGTCCTAATTCTCGTACCTGTAACTATGACCCTGTTTGGGAATAGGGGTCTTCTTTTGTCACAGTGAGGAGGTCAGACCAGAGTGAAAAACCATGCTCACTGCCATAGAGTTGAATCCAACTCCTAGCGACCCCTCCTTGGGTTTTTGAGGCAGTATCTCTATGGAAGTAGATTGCCCAGTCTTCTTCCAAGGAGTGGCTGGTGGGTTTGAACCGCCAGCCTCCTGGTGAGCAGTCAAATGCCTTAGGCACTATGCCACCAGAGCTCCTCAGACCAGAATAGGGCAGGTCGTAAATCTAGTCCCTTTGAGTAGTGTCTCATGAAAAGGGCAGAATACATACAGACACACACGGGGAAGACAGACTCACGGGAAATGCAGCTCCTCTAGATTGAAACATGCTGGGCATCACACAAGAGATTTCAAACACAGTACAAGAAAAAGAATGCCAAGTAGCTCATTAATAATTTTTATATTGATTTCATGAAGAGATAAAATACACCTCCTCCTCACGTAAGGACTGTCTCGTTATCTGTCATTTCACATTTATGACAAAAACCTACTGTTGAACTATTTTGCTCATTAATGATGAGCATCAAGCAGTGAGGAACACCATGGGGTGCGGTGAGAGTAACGCTGGCTGTGACATCTAAGGTTATGTAGCAACTTGGCTGGGCCATGATTCTTAGTGGTTTGGCAGTTATGTCATGATATAATTTGGCAATTATGTAATAATGTAATTTGGCAGTTACGTAATGATGAAGTCATCCTCCCTTTTGTGATCTGATGTGGTCATCCTCCATTTTTCCATAATGCTGTTTTGCATAATGACTTGGCATTGGGAACCTAACCATGTTGACAAGTGAGGCAAACCCAACCAAACCCACTGTCATCAAGTCGATTCCAACTCATAGTGATCCCCGTTGGATTTCTGAGATGGTAAGTCTTTATGGAAGTAGATTGCTCAGTCTTGCTTCCACGGAGTGGCTGGTGGGTTTGAACCACCAACACTGTGGTTAGCAATGTGCTAATTTCCGTTGCTGCTTTTACTTTTTAAAATGTGACTATCAGACAACTTAAAGCCACATGTGGGTCCCACTTTATCTTTCCAGTGCACAGTGCTGTGGCTCTAAATCCCACCAGCACTGTGGGAGCAAGCAAGAAGTGTCCTCCATGCTACCCTGAAAATGGCTGTGCTTGTTGGGTGGCTGAGAACTTACTGGGGAGTCTCTGGGTGGGACAGACAGTTAAGCACTTGGCCATAAGCCAAAAAGGTTGCCATTTGAAATCCCCCCCAGAGGTGCCTCAGAAGAAAGGCCTGGTGATCTCCTTCTGAAATATCATTGAAAATCCTATGGCGTCCAGTTCTACTCTGAAACACATCAGATTGCAACTGATTCCTCGTGTTTTAAGGCCCTGTTGATTTCCTGATCTGAGAACACTGCCAGCAATTCGGATTTGGGGAGATACTCAAGTGGTGCCCCTCTTTTCTTCCATACAAGTCCCTTTAAAAAATGATAAAAGAATTACATGCTCACAGTTAAACTAAAAGATATGGAAAAGTATTAAAAAGCTGTCTTAGTTATCTAGTG